TCGCACTGCCGGAGTCCGGCGACCGGCCCCCAGCCACTCTGTAGACAGTTGCAGAGGAGGCGGACGCGGCTGGGGCTGGTGACGAGATTCCGTCCTGGGTCCCTTTAAGATTTGCTGATCATTGAAATCTCCGGCCTTCCCCTGAGGGGTCCCTAGAACAATCTTATTTTTTCAGTCTATCAGCTGCAACCATTTTATTACATCACGAGTAGCAGGTGAACCCTCCTCCTCCCCCTTTGGGGAAGCTAATCCGCCATCCCTGACCCATCTGCCTCCCCTCCTCCCACAGCCTGAGACAACCCCACTCATCAGAGGATTTCCAGCCAGCCCTCACCAGGCTGAGCTGCTGGTCCTCATCCCACCCTGTGAGCCGGGTGTGTCTGTGCTGTGCAGTTCTGGTTCAGGTCCCGGGCCTCCTCCAGCCGTGGCTCCTGATGGCCGGGGGGTCAGACAACCACTTGTCTCCCCAGTGCCCTCTGCCCTGTAGTGTCAGAGTCTCCAGACTGCAGCACTTAGAGAACTTTGGAAACTTTGCCATTGTTTTAAAGAGACAACGCACAGGTCCACCCTGCCTGGTTAGCCCAGCTCTCCCACGTCCCTGGGAGGTGCAGCTCTGAGATGGTTTGTGGTAGAAGTTTTGTTCGCAGGGGTCTGTAGGGTTAGGGGATGGCTAGTGAGTGTGACTGAGCCAGGAGACGTTGCAAACCGAACATGCTTTGCAGTTGGAAACTTTGCCATTGTTTTAAAGAGACAACGCACAGGTCCACCCTGCCTGGTTAGCCCAGCTCTCCCACGTCCCTGGGAGGTGCAGCTCTGAGATGGTTTGTGGTAGAAGTTTTGTTCGCAGGGGTCTGTAGGGTTAGGGGATGGCTAGTGAGTGTGACTGAGCCAGGAGACGTTGCAAACCGAACATGCTTTGCAGTGACTGTGGCCATGGAGAACGGGAACGGACCCGCAGCATCACACCCCCTGCAGTGTGCCAGTGGCCTGACTCAGGGCCTGGGCTGGGGCCGGGTAGAATGGGACAAGTGCAGGCCCAGGAGGGGGAAGGCGCAGGCAGTATTTGCCCAGGAGGGGTAATTGAATGACAGACACCTGGGAAGAGTTCCTAGAGCACGTGTGGGGAGGTGGGGGCTGGACTCGATGGGGGGGGGGTGAATAACAGGGAATGTCAAAGGGAAACCTGAGATTAATCAGAGTCACGCCCAGAACTAAAGGCTGAACATGCGGGGGAGGGGTCCCCAAACCTGGTACCTTCAGCGTGTCCGGGCCTCCTGCCCAGGCCATCCCAGGCACATGCCACTGGGACTGGGCAGTGAGGTGCCAGCTTCAGGGTCCAGGCCCTTCCTATGGTCTCCTCTCCACCCCCACCCCAGGGCAGCCACTCACCCACTCAGCCTCACTGGGGCCCAGAGCAGGGGGACTCAGGGCTCGGGGTGAGGCTAGGGGCAAGTACAGGACTGGGAGTGGAGCCCTGGGAGCAGCAGCTGGGAACCCAGGTAAAATGTGGGGGTGCTACAGCCACACACACCCTGTTCCTGTGAGTTCTAGTCCTGCTCCTGCCCCTGACACACCCCCCCCCATGGGGCATTCTAAATCCTATGAACCAAGCTCAGGACCCACAATGCACTACGGATGGAGACAAAGGCAACAGACACTGGGGGAGTAAACGCAGGTTTTACAAGAGCAGGTAATTGTCCCTCCCCATCTGTCGTGTGGTTCCATTTATTTTAGATCTGATGGAAACCAGGACACTCCAGGGAGCCTTAACCACTTTCTTATATACAGGCAGTCCCCAGGTTACATGGATCCGACTTACAGCGGATCCCTACTTACAAACGGGGTGAGGCAACCCCGCACTAGCTGCTTCCCCCCAGCAGACCAGGGAGATGCAAAGCTAGCGCGCCTCCCCTCCCCCAGCAGACCAGGGAGACGCAGAGCGGCTTTTCTCAGCAGACACCTCAGCTTGAGAATAAAGGACTGAGGGAAGTGAGGTGTGGGAGAATAAAACTGAGCTCTGGAGAAATGTTTGGCTAGAGTTTCCCCTACAATATGTACCAGTTCCGACTTACATACAAATTCAACTTAAGAACAAACCTACAGTCCCTATCTTGTACGTAACCCAGGGACCTCCTGGTACCATGCTGTATCTGCATGATTGGGGGGCGGGGAGAGGGGAATCTTCCCTCTCAAAGCTCCATACCTCCCAGTTTTGCCTGTGTACTTACGTGCACCAGACTTGAGATAGGCCTGGGTTTTGCTTGTTAGAGATCTGCACTGTAATCAAGATAGGCATTATTATTGTCAAGGCAGGGCACATCCAGGCTCCCGTACACACACCCTCCCCCCACATGGGGCACCCTAAATACTATGGACCAAGCCCAGCTCCCACAATGCACTGGGGATGGACACAAAAGCAACAGACACTGGTGGGCTGCATTTAGACAGGCATGATTTTGTGCAAATACTTTTAATGGAAAAGTTTTTCCGCTAAAAGTATTTGTGCAAGAGAGCGTCTATACTGGCATGTGCCTTTGCGCGCAAAAGCATCAGTGCCAGTATAGATGCTGTCTTGCGCAAGACAGCTCCAATGGCCATTTTAGTCATCGGGCTTTCTTGCGCAAGAAATTAACTTGGCTGTCTACGCTGGCCCTCTTGCGCAAGAATACTTGCGCAAGAGGGCTTATCCCTGAGCGGGAGCGTCGGAGTATTTGCTCAAGAACCACTGATTTTGCACAGTACAAAGTCTGTTCTTGTGCAAATACTCGTGGTCATTGTAGACAGGCGCAAAATCTTGCCAGTCTAAACGCACCCGGGGAGTAAACGCAGGTTTTACAATACTGTAGTAGGTAATTGTTGTCCCGTCTCCTCCAATGTCAGAGCCATACCTTAGGGAGCAGGGTCCCACCTGCCTTCTCCCTAGCTGCGTATAGATTCTTCTGGTGCCAATGTTTTTACACACACAGATGTTTCCTTCAGATCCTGCCTCAGATTGCTAAATGTGCTGCTGCTGCCTGGCTCTTAAAAGTTAATTTCTCTGGGTGCAGGTCTTCCTACATTACTGGGCTGCTCTTCACTCCCTGCCCCTTTCCTCCTCCTCCTCCTCCTCCTCCTCCTCATTTCTTTCCTCTGTGTTCACAGTTCTAGTTTTTACAGACACCTCCAAAATCTAAAACAATTGGAAACAGAGCCAATCAAGAAACAAAGAGAAAACAAGGTAACAACTTTTCTTTCAATACACCCAGTAACTTAACACTAAATGGAACCCCCAGGAATGCAACAGCTGGAATGACTCCCAACTTCCTGGAAGATACGGTTGCTAAGCAACAGAAATGCCCACTCTGCTTCTAACCTTAAGCACTAATTATATTTGAAACTGTAGGGGAGCCTGAATAATAATGTCTGCATTGTCCGGCCCTGCCTTGACCAGACTAACCATGGCTGTCTTGCCCAAAGTGCGGATTTCTAACAAAGCAAACCCAGCTTGGTCTGTCTCAAGTCTGGTGCATGTACACATGCAGGCTTTAAACAATTGTGTGTAGGGAGCATGGGATAGTGAAAACCACGCCAAGAACATTGGGGCTACGTCTATACTGGCAGCTTCTTGTGCAAAAACTCTTCCAGAAGAGAGCGTCTACACTGGCACGTGCTTTTGCACAAGAGCATCCGTGCCAGTGTAGACGCTCTCTTGCGCAAGAAAGCTCTGATGGCCATTTTAACCATAGGGGTTTCTTGCGCAAGGAATTCATGTTGCCTGTCTACACTGGCCTCTTGCGCAAGAACAGTTGCACAAGAGGGCTTATTCCTTAGTGGGAGCATCATAGTACTCGCGCAAGAAGCCCTGATTTCATACTGTAGAATGTCAGTTTACTTGCACAAGAACACACGGCCAGTGTAGACAGGCAGCAAGTTTTTGCGCAAGAGCGGCCGCTTTGGCGCAAGATCGCGCCAGTGTAGACACAGCCTGGGAGAA